TAACTAGCTTTTCCCCGCGGCTTCGCTCCCAGAAATTAATATTCTTTCTCCATAAAACCTTTTAGCTCCCAATTCACCCTTACAACGTTTTAATTTTGTGTAATGTCGCCATCTTTCAAATACAAACGTAGCAACAACATTTCATCCTTAAGGGTTGATTTTTAAAAATTGCCAAAACACGTATTTGCTTAATTTCAGCAATGAGCATCCTTCGAGTAAATCCGAGTACAAATAAAATGTACCCCATGGAAACGTTGCAACCTCTTTTCATTTGATTAATAATATCAAACAGCATATATACCAAGTTTCAAGTAAATTTAACCACAAATAAAGTATGTCCCAAACAAAAATTGCTACACCTTTTTACCTCTCCTCCCTTTTGGAGGTTGAACTTTTTAAAATGTGGAGATAGGTCTTACAAATTTTATACGAAAAAGCAATAAAGCCAAGTTTCAGGTAAATCTGACTATAAATAAAACACCATACTTAACCATAGACAAGATTACGTTTAGCTGTCAATTGCGTTTTGTTACCACCACCTCCACACCAATTTTTAACCAAATCGGTTCAGCCGTTCTTGAGTTAAAAATAGTGTAACTAAAACGATAAATCCGTGGTTACGGTACAAACAGTAAACGACACCAGCATAACTACCTAATACAGAACTGTCGTTTTGTCTCTATTTGGGCATACTAAGAAGTTTCTCATGATGTTTTATAATTGCTAACGTCACAAAACCCATCACTGGTACCGATTTCCTGACACACTACCAATTACTGGTTTACCTATCCAATCCAAGCAGCGCCTCCTCGATCAACTCACCCAGCGCTTACCACATCTGGTCAGGCGGCTGGCTATAGCTTTGTTTCTTTACTTCGGACACCACATCTGCTTCGTCTGTATACCATAATTTATCGTACTTCATAAGTTTCCACCATTATTACGAACCAGCGGCCTAGTAATTTTACCCAAGCGTTCACTATACAACTTCCAAACCAGAGCATACCCGTATCCATTAGTGCGTTTTCCCAATTAAGTTGATCAACACTGTGGGACATACTGTATATCAACTTAATATTATCAACTTCTGAATGTTTGCTTTGGCTTAATTCTTCTGGGTTGGATGTGGGACTAATTTTATTTTGATAATAATTTAAATTGATCGGAATTTGGGATAGAATCACTTTCTGAGTTCATGAGATTGTCTTTACTTCCGTATTTCGCAAACGTGTAAAAAAAAGATTATCAAATTGAGACAGTAAAGGTGCAGAGAATCTTTTTAAATTCTTCTTTTGTTGTAATAGTTTTATTAACTGTAATAATTAAAACCACGTGAACCAAAGTTAACTATGTATAAAAATGTATGTAGGTACGTATGCCTCAGGATCAGACATATGATGTAGCATAATATTAGTTTTATCTAGAAATACGTTGTTAAGATTTATCAGAACAAACAACAAAAAAAAACCACTAAAAAGTTTGAAACACGCGCTAACAGTTGACACGTGTAACATGGAAAAAGTCAACGACTTATAACTCAAAAAGTCATAGGATGATACCAATAAACAATGTACAATTAGAAAGTACACTTATTAAATCTATCGGTCTCGAAAAACTTAATTAAATTAGGACAACTTTTCTCATACAAAACAAGCAGAGAGCGATTTATTAACACTCTCACAGGTACTCTCAGTCATTAGTAATTGCAATAAACTGTTTTAATCCTATTTTCATAGGGTGTTGTGTCCCTAGCGCCGCGACATTTTTGCGGGTAATAATACCGTCCGCCGGGATAAAAGCCAGACAATATTGTATATTGTAGAGTGCTCCTCCTAATGTACAATTATTTTACTTACCATTAATATTTTATATTAAGTTTATGCATTGTTGCTGTATGATATAATAAAAGAAATTTTTACATTCCTTCAAATTTTAATCCAAACTTAGGAATAAAACAAGTATGTTTAGAAGTATCATAATCGTAATAAGAAAAAGGCGAGATAGATTGGTAGGACACCTTCTGAGGCATAAAGGTCTAGTCAGACATATTAGAGGCCAAAAGAAGGAGAAAAAAAGAGTTACTGTTAAGTAGTTAAGGATGTGGGGTGTTCTAGTTTTAGGGAAATACGATGATTAGCTCAGGATATGAAGGGTTGAAGGTACGTGTCCAACCAGTCTTAGGACTGACGACCTTATAATTATGAAGGTAATAATAATAACATAATTTTCCGAGGATTTGTGTCGATGCGACATTTTTCCCTGAGGGACTTTTTCCGGCGGCTTCCTTCCAGGGCGAATCTAGTTATATAACCCCACATTCTTTTTATAAATTTTTTAAATAGCAATTGTAAAAGCTGTACAATGATGAGATTGCCACCCAAAGAACGTGCCGCCCGCGTGCGGTGCACGCCTTGCACGTCCGCTAACATCGGGCCTGATAACATTTAGAGCTATTCAGGGTAAAATTTAGTCAAAAGTACACCCTTAAATACTGATGCATAAAAAATAATTAGGTAAAAGCGACAGGGTCATATACTAATCCAGTTGTATGTGTAGACACGTGCACGTCTAAATTGTAAATTTTTATCGGGATTAAAATTTAATAAAAAACACAAAAAAGTTTCAAGTACGCGCCAGCAGCTGGCATATGTAGAGTAGAAAACTCCGCCGATTAAATATGGTTTAAAAATAAAAATATATATGCAATTATAATTAAAAAAAAAAAATGAGTGGGCTTATGAACACACGACAAAAGTGAAAACATCTAATTTTCCAATTTTAAACTATATATATCTATACAATTACATTTATCTTATGCTTATAATGGATTAATTCGGTGACTCAGCAACAAGATAATATTGATATTGTTATATGAAATTATTTATTCTTATCTTTCTACCCGTAAAGTAGTATTACTTACAAAACAATTGTATCTGTGAATTAATTATGTTGTGGAATTTTGCTCTGATTGGACTTTTTCATTGGCATTATAAGACACGCGTATTATATCAAAATACTACACTGATTACATTTGTGGCGGGCAATTGTATGTATCTTTTGTAGATATTTCTTAAGCATTCTTTTTAATTATTTTACTTGAAATTCATTTTATTTCAAATATTATTTCAATTTCTTATCTTTTACACACTTTGGTTTCCTTTCAATCTAAACTCTATTGTTCTTTCAATCACTTTTACCTGGAAATCCTACTTCAACCATACCTGCATGCATTCCCACAACTAATATCTGGTTTTACCCTTAATTGCTTTCTCTTGAACTCTATACTGCTTAATTCTACGTATTCCTACAAATTAGTGTCTTCACCTTCTCTCTCACTACTTTTCCTTCTTCAACATTCTATCAAATTTACTAACAACCCTGTCCTATAAATACTCTCAAAAAATTCATATCAATACCGAGGTCTAGGCCATTGCTTAGCATTCGGGAGGACGCCGGTTCGATTCCGGGTCCGTCTGCGTGTTTCTGTGGTTTCCTTGGATCACTTAGGCAAATGCTGAGGCAGTAATATTCCACAGATAATCTTTCATTCTCTTCTGTCTTCATTTCGTCCGTCTCAACTTTCTCACCCGAACCACCACCCACCCATTCCCACGATTCCTGAAAGCAGGCTGAAGA